CCCTAAACTCTAAAACCCTAAACACTAGATGCCATGGGAGCTGGGCCGCCGCCGGCCGACGGTCGCATCTCCAAGGCCGCGATGCGCGCAGACATACCTAGGGTTTAGGGTCTAGGGTTTAGGGTTTAGGGTTTAGGGTTTAGGGGTTCAGGGGTTCAGGGGTTTAGGGGTTCAGGGGTCTAGGGTATAGGGTTTAGGGTTTAGGGTTTAGGGGTTCAGGGTTTAGGGTTCTTGGGGAGGAGTTGTTGTTGCTCAGCGATTGCGGGATATCCAGAAAAAGGGGTACTGAGTGGACTTGCCAAGTCAACTAAGCATCTAGTGACAATGATGGACATGCAAGTAACTTGTGTAGAAGGGTTTCGACTTAGATTACCAAATAAGGAAACCATCATAGTATTTACCATAGATCTCGATTGTGGTAGCTTCAATTGAACTCCCTAGCAGTGAAAAAGAAGCCTGAACACCAAACCCTGAACCCTAAACCCTAAAGGTTTAGGGTTTAGGGTTTAGGGTTTGTAACACCCCAATACCCTAAAACCCTCAACTCTCACTCACTCACTCACTCACACGCGATATGGTAGATGCAGAGCGTCAGCATGCAAGAGCCCCAAAAGCGTGGCCGCTATGGCCAGCGCAGGGAAAAATATGAAAGCGTGAGACAAGAGGCGCGACCCTGAACGGAAAACAAGAGAGGGTCTGAACGCAAGAACGCGAGCCAGTGCAAACTCCTAAAACCATATACACCTAAAATCTTAAAGCCCCACAATCACACTATCCTAAAACCTTAAATCCAAAAAATCCTAAAAATTACCCCAATCATAAACTCAAAAAAAATCCTTATTAACCCTAAAGCCAGATCCCAGAGACTCTGGAGGTCGCCCTGGATCTGCTGGCGGAGCCTTGGCGGGCTGGGAGGTGTTCTCTAGGGCTCATCGGGTCAGGGTTTAGGGTTTAGGCTTTAGGGTGTAGGGTTTAGGGTTTAGGGTTTAGGGTTTAGGCTTCCTTTTGGGGTTTAAGGTTTAGGGTTCAGGGTTTAGAACGCTTGCCATGCACATCCAAGTGCTACACGTCTTTTGAGCACAGCTGGCGAGCTGTCGGAGCAGTCTCCAATTGCGGGCTATACAGACCTAGCACATCCCTCTCTACGGTCTGAGGCGGTGTGGCCGAGACGTGCTTGAAGTCCCTAAACCCTAAACTGCTACCCTGTTGGGCCTATATTAAAAACGATCATCTTAAATCCTTATTGGTTTTTATTCTAACAAAAATGTAAATATGTAGCCAACGAGGACCCAGTACACCTTAAACCCTCGACACTGGGACGATACATTCTGTTACCTGCTCAAGCCAGTATCTCTTTGGGTGTCCTCGAAAAGCAGACTTAGTAAACTTAATACGATCCTTTTCTGCTGGTGGGATGACTACGTGATGTATAGGATCGCGGTGTAACCAAGACTTTGCACAGTTGCGAAAGTTGTTGGGTTTAGGGTTAAGAGCTTAGCGTTTTTCAGTTACGCATAGCTTAAGATTCGAATCAATCCGAACTCACAACTCACTTGCGAAGTCCTCTCAGCATCGAAATAGGGACTTGGGATCAGGGCTTTCGGATGGCAGCTTCAAAAGTCAAAAGTTTGCAGATTGACTTAGGTGTTTGGGGTTTAGGGTTTAGGGACTTAGGGGTTTAGGAGTTTAGGGGTTTAGGGTTTAGGGCTTTAGGGGTCTAGGGTTTAAGGTTTAGGGAAGCGCAAAGCAAATCGACAATGAAGAAACTATGGCAAAGGCTCAGACAAAAGTCGAGAGTATTATTATGGAGGAAAGAACAGATCGCAGCTCCGAACAGCAACACAGAAGCCGAGAAACCAACAGCCCAGAATCCCAGAGTTCAAATTTCCGGCGGTGAATCTTCAGGCACTGCAGGGCTCTTGAAGTGAGGGGGCATGGATGAATCATTCCAGCATGCTCCTTCGACTCATTCGAAGCTTGCTGGCAGCTCGCGTGAGAAAAATAACCCCCTAAATGTGAGTTAAACCCCGCTTCGATGCCCAGAACGAGACTCAGTCTATTGATCTCTGCCAAAGCCCAAAGAAAATAGGAAATCCCTTCTGAAGAAGTAAAGAGCCCGATGTAATGCAACCCTCTTGCAAGGACCACAGTAAAGGTAGTGCAACGGAAGTCCGAAACCCGTGTCTGAAACACCAACCTCGAAGCTCCATTTTTCAAGCCCAAGGAGCTCAAAACCCCGCAAAACCCGAGACCACAGTGCAAAGCCGGGACGCTTGACCCCAGAATTCCTGAAACCGGCAGAGGAATGCCAAGTCTAAAACGCCCAAACTTCAGCCCCAAACCTTCGGACCCTAGCCTCTAGACCCTAAACCCTCAAACTCCACAAAGCCCCGCCGTATCATTGCGCCCAGCGACTGTTCGACCTCCCAGCGAAGATCTTTCTCCGGCGCAGGCTCCTCCGACTGGACTTTTAAGCCCTAAACCGTAAACCCCATCTGCCTATCGATCTATCTGCCTATCTACCTATCTTCCTGTCTACCTATCTACCTATCTACCTATCTATCTATCCTATCTATCAATCTATCGACATCTATGCCTCTACCTATACCTGTACCTAATCCTGTACCTATACCTGAAACCTACATCTACATCTGTATCTGAAAACAAACACTACATCTACCTCTACATCTACATCTGCATCTATATGTATGTGTCTATATCTATATCTATATGTCTGTATCTATACCTATACCTATATCTATATCCATATCTACACCTATATCTATATCTATACCTATACCTATACCTATACTTATACCTATACCTATACCTACATCTATATCTATATCATCTATATCTATACCTATCTATGCCCATCTATACCCTAAACCCTAAACCCTAAACCCTAAACCCTAAACCCTATACCCTTGACCACAGGCTCCTCCGACTGGACTTTCTCAATCTCCAGCCGAATCTCCTCGCGCGGCTTTGAGGTTTGGGGTGTTTTCGGCGTTTTTTGGGGTTCAGGATCCGGGAGGTTTAGGGTTTAGGGGAGTCAGGTTATGGAAAACCAATAGATGATGTTAGAATCTAGTAGACTATACTCTGCAATATTCGAGTTTGGGGTTTGTTTGTCGGGACTTGGGGCTATGGGTGTTGAGCTGGCGGGTTCAAGGGATTTAATTCTATAAGGTTTCTAGGAAGAGATTAAAGTCAGAAAGACTCGCCCTCGATCCTAAACTCCAGATCTAAACGGCTTAAAACACAATTCCCGCAACCCCTGCTAGTAGGGTCGGGAGCTGTTTCATAGTATCCTGGAGTATAATAGGGCTGAAGGTTTCATAAGACTCCTCAATCTTGAAGCCTAAACCTTAGACCTTATGCCGGTGACCTCAAACCCGAAACCCTAAGCCTTACACCCTGAACCCTACACACCCTCAACCTTACGGTCCAAACCTTCAAGCCGGTTTAGGGTTTAGGGTTTAGGGTCCGCTTTCCAACTTCGTAGGGGCACGGTGAGCTTTAGGATCTAGAAAGGGGATCCCTGAATTTGGGACCTTATGCTACTAAAGGGTACTTTATCAGAACCCGCATTAAGGGATCCTACTTTTTAGATTCTTCCGGTGGTCTGGGTAGGGACCCCTCTAAACCCTAAACCCTAAACCCTAAACCCTAAACCCTAAACCCTAAACCCTAAACCCCCCTCCCAGAGGATCCCAAAGCCGCAACTTGGGGTTCCCGCTTGCTGGGCCTCGAGGGCTTCCTGCAGAGCTTCAACCTCGGTCAATTCCCTTTTTCTGACTCCGAAAAAGCCAAAATATATAGGGTTTGAGGCTCATGGTTCAGAATTTTCATAGGTTCCGGGTTAGGGTTCAGGGTTTAGGGTTTAAGGGTTCGGTCCTGCCGCAGCAGCTCCCATAACTGCTGGTCATTCGTGAGCGTCGGGGTCGGCATGCCGCGCTGCACTTGTGCTCTGCTTTGCAACAGGCCCTCACCCCCAAGCGCACTTTCTATCTAGGGGTTTCCGAAAATAGGGGACCCTAATATAGCACCCCAAACAATAGGATCCCTATTATCAGGACCCCAAAATAAGTCCCGTATTCTCGGGAAGCCCTATATTTCCTGCATAGTCTACAGCACCTACATTCGACAGCACGGGCCACCTGCTACCTGCTGCACTGGTTTCTGTTCATTTTCCGCCCACCATCGGTCGCAGCCTTGTAAGCCTTGGAAGATGCTGACCCGAAACCTGGACATCCGTACATCAATTGCTAAAATCTTGGTGCAAATCGAAAAAACTCACATCCCTAGCTGAGCCTTCCTCTCGAGGCTGAAACTTTTGCTGCTCTGCAGAGGTGCTTCAGCACGAAACGCTGCAAAGCGAACATGCAAGTGCTGTAACAGAAGGATTGAACATGGGGGAGGATAGGGCAGGCAGTATCGAAATAAAGGTAAAGGGGGCAGAACTCTCAAGTTATACCGCCTGTTTGCGTCTGAAAGCATAAATTTAAGACTTCGGCTACAGGACGTCTGGCCTAGGAAAGCCACTCATGGCACGCGGCCCAAAAGAAAGGGCCTTGTGGTTCACGAAGACTTTCCTTCAGCGCAAGAAAGTGGACAAAAGCTCGCAGGTGAGGACGAAGAAGTAAGCCTCCGCAACCTAAACCTCCAAACCATGGACGGCGATCTTCAAACCCTCCCAGATCCCTTCTCAGCAAACGCCGCCACACCCCTTCTAAATATGGCCAAACCCACCCAAACTTTCCAAACCCACTCGACTGTGCGACTGCGTGCAAGCTCTACGAAGACTCAAACCGAAAGAGCCATATTCCGATACGCGGCATTCCAACAAGAAGTGCTGTCAAATTTGAAATCCAATGTCAACAAGTGGGCAATTTCAAGGGCTCTGGCAAAAGTTGCGGAGGGGTTCGTGAAGGGCTAACGAGTACATATCCTGTGGCCGTAAAGGGGCTCTTATTTAGGTGCTTCAGGTTCAAAGTACCTTCAAGGTCTGCAACACGGCATCATCAAAGAAGCAACATGACCAAACAAATGAACATGCACCTGATTCCCATTTCCGAATCCCTAAACCCCACAGCCCAAAATCCTAGATAGCACCACCACCACCGCCACCACCACCACCACCACCACGTAATACAAAAAGCACAACAGTAACCCCTAATCCTTGCTTGAAACAACCAAAGGCCCCCACTGGTTTGTGGAACTTCTAGAACACATTTCACTTTATCCACATAGGCTTGCGCTCACGCATCAGCGGACTCGTTCCCGCCCTCTTTTGTGGGAGAGGAGTTGCAGCATATATTTTTATACGTGAAAAATGTTTCCGCAAATAATCATATCCACATGGACTCGCGTTCACCCCCGCCGTCTGATCAACAAATTCCTCTCCACCCTTGCCCTTGCGAAAACTGTACCTAAACATGCATGCTTCCGGCACGGGTTGCATTTCGATCACAGCCGTGTTTGCCCAACCATTAACCCACTGGTAAAAGCTCCAGCAAGAACGATAGCTCTCTCTTAGATATCGCAACTGATCAGCTTTCCTATGCTTGATTTGCATGCAACGTTCGTGCGAAACATTTCAAACTGGAACTCTATCTCAGAATTTTTTTTGCTGGAACGGGCCTCGTTGACTGCATCCGCAGCGCTTGGTCCCTACGCGAAACCACCGAACTACCAAACAAACCAACGAGGTGAAACGAAGCCAGAAAAGGACCAGCAACCGCAGGTTCGAAAACCAAGTCATCTACCCTGTTCGGCTCACGGCGATTCTGCACAAGCCTCTCAGATGGCAATTCTGTACAAACCAGACGGACAACAGACGACCCCACAACCTGCGTTTCCGCGTTGTCGAACACACCAAAGTCCAGAAATCCTTAAGGCGGATACGGTAATGGCGGCACATCATCGCCCGTCGTGTGTTTAGGCATCTTGCACAACACAGCACCGATGGCAGGAGGAAAGACATAAGGCATCGGTGCACAGAAGAGGCCGGCATGTAATGCTACGACCAGCGCACGAAGACTGGCAAAATTCCGGTGAATGCATGCGCCAAGGAAGTGGCTCTACATTGCTACAAACGCACCCGCGTGGCCGTCAAGAAAACGCCGGACACACTGGTGTTGTCAACGAAATGCATCGGAGATCACGCACTCTCATCTTCAGTTTCAGAGACACGGAACACCACGAGCCGACATCTCGTCTTTTCATGGTTTATCTCTGTAAAGTACCGCAAGTTCCAAACTTCCAAGAACCATCTTTGATGGTTCGTCTGGCGCAGTCAGAAATCAAGATCTTTTCTTCCTGCCATGTTCTGGGGCAGCCTGCATGTTGGGATGCTGCGTATCTGTATCGTGCGCCATCAAAGCACGGGTCGTTGGAACCTGTGGCACTTTATCTGTGACCATCTTCTTCTTTGTAAGAGTAGAAAGAAGGTAATTGTATCTTCCACCCGCGGCTGCAATGCGAAGTGCAGTGCACTCTCCCGGACTGGGCGGCGGCGTGCCAACATGTTCTCCGCTCCCTCCCTGGGGGCGCGGGCCTGTTAAGGACAGAGAAATACTGTCTCACGAGTCTCTCGTGTATAGTGAAATCGAGCAGCCCGACTCTGTCGAGCGCAAGCCCTCGGCGAATGAAGGCCTGCGTCAAGCTGAGCTCATTGCCGATCTCAACGTGCACACTGTGCTCCTTCTTCTTCAAGGTAATCTCCCCAGACTCTAGGGAGAAAAACTCTTGTCCGGCCTCACTAAGGCGATCTCCGCGTCCCGGCTGACGCACTGCGACGGCAGGATATAGCGAACCATGCTGTCCTGCAGCATGAGCAGCCTTGTCTACGAGCGAATTGGCGGGGTCGTAATCGCCTTCGATGACGACCCCACGAAGGCGCGCGACCTGCTTGGCGCGGCGCTCCTCGCGCTTGTGCAGCGGCAAGCTTTTGGAGGCGACACTGTCGCCATCCTCATTTTCAGATGCTGGATGATGCTGAAAGTGAGAGACTTGAAGGCGAGGCTTTCCGACCAGTCCGAAGATGATAGCAGCTCCAGTTCTACCACGGAGGCTGGGACACTTGAGCCTCTCTGCCAAAGCCAAAGGTCCCTGTTAGAGGATTCCGGATTTCTTGCCCGATTCCAAAGATTTGGAGGCCACTGTGGAAAAGGAAAACCAGAAGAGAATTCAGGGGCGGCTTGCTTCTTCTGAGACAGTGGAGGAGCCATGTGTGGCAGCTGCAAAGTTCGCAGCACTGTAAGACGTGCTGGAGTAGCAAGTCGTTTAAGAATGATTGAAAAGTGAGCGAAGATCCTGCGCATTCCTCCAGCAGGAGTTCGTGGTTCTCTCTGTCTCTCTCTTACTTCTCTCTGTGTCCATTCTCTGTTCAGGACCATGTCCAGTCTCGTCGACAGCGTCGCGGAGTTCAAGAGCCGGACCTAGCAATTGTTGGGCGAAGAGGACGCTCAGAAGCTCCTCACAAACGACAGCGTTTCTTCGAAATCGTGAAGAAAGTGTTCCTAGCGGACGTAAGCCTGGGAACAAAGGCGCGCGGCTTGAGAAACTCGACTGGCGTGCAGCTTGCCACTGGTCAGGTACCAGGTCGTCCGTGCCGACAAGGAGCTCTGGACGATCATCTCCGAACAGTGTCGGAATGGATGTAGGCCGGACAAGAAAGGCAATGGGCCGCTGGACGAGCTGGTCTGGGACTGGGCAGACCCCATGGTCATGCTCCATCTCCTTCCGGTCCAGCCAGCAGAGCGCGGCCGATCGCGTGAAAAACTTAAGGTCCCTCCTAGACCTTTTCCCTTGGAAGTCAAGTCCCTAAACACAGCGGACAGCTGCAAGTCTTTTTCACTCAGCTTGAGCCAAACGTTCGCGGTGCGCAACAGAGTTCACACATAAGTGTGGAAACGAATTCAAACAACCGAATTAGCGTATTGGGCTCTAACCACACAAAGATTTACAGAG